GTTGTATACTGTCTGAGAGAGCCGGGATTTGGCTGAAGATAAAGAGTGAGGAGCCAGTCTCTACATGGATATCCACTGTCACCAAGCAAGTTGTTGATATCTGCAATCACATGGCTTGTACGAGGCTCGCTAAGCACTTTATGTAAAATACCTTGGTATTTTATGAGCATGTGTTTCCTTTCTGAGCAAAAACTGATGAAGCCATGATAGCTGATAAACAAAAGATTGAGAGAGGTATATGAAACGTAATTTCAGTCCAGTGAAAAATAGTCAGTTATGAAATGACATTGCATGAAATATTTAAAATAGTTTATAGGTTTCTTTTTTTACATCCAGGACATCTCCGCAAATCCATAAAGTCAGTGTTAGATGACATGAAAGATAGAGGCGAACTTGAACAGTTGGTTGATGATGCAAGAATGACATCAGAAAATGGCATACCTGGACCTCGGGCAGCTAGTGCAGCCACGCCAGAACACATTCGCTCAGCAAAACTATTAGAACTTTATGATAATGACAATTTTATTAATCAGTATATGATTTCCTATGTCCTGTGCCATGGAGGCAGACCTAATGGAAATGTCCACTTGAGACTAATGGAACTGGTGGTAGGAAAAGTACACAAGTATATGAATAGTAAGAATTTTATTATTTTTTTTTAAATTAAAACTAATTTTGAGCCTTGTCAGCACAATATATACACAATATGCCATGGTGAATGTGTTACTTTTATGCATTCTGTTATCCTAATTATTTCTCATTAAGTCATGAAAGTAGGGATTCAAACATGAACTTAATTTTGTTTAATCGGAAATCTAATTAAATATGTACATAACTGCAGTCAGCATTCACCTGTCTTAAGCCTCATTTACACATATTTACATATAGGTATTTTTACCTCCTGGTTAAATTCATTTCAGATGCTCTAATCCTTCATACTTCATTCATTAGACCCTTAAAGAAATTGACATACATGTATATTCTTCTATGTAAGATGTGACATTTGTGTCTGTTTAGATCAAGAAATGTTCAGCAGAGTGTACAACACCCTCGCCCCCAGTGAACAGACATATGCACTAGGTGATGATGATGCTGTCTTCACGACAGCAGGAAGGCCAGACAACATCCAGACTCCTACCACAAGAGAGGATCCCACAGTACATGAAAGTTTAACTACCGTTGTCAGTGGACAGGATGATCCAACCATAAGTTCAAGTCCATCTTCAGTGCAAACAGAGAATGATGCAGTTGACGATGCAGGTATTAACTGTAATCAATAATGGGTTTTTTTGGCAAATCTTCAAAAACACTATGTTCTTTTGTCTGAAATCATACAGATTTCATCATATCCATTTATAGCCAAAGGGAGATAGTGCTATTTGTACAAGTGTTAACGCCTCTGCTTTAGCACCATATAGTGTGTTGCTTAAAACTTGACACGCAATGTATGCCATCCACTAAAATGGAGCTAGTAAGCTACCAAGGTGCGCCAAAGTTGCCATATAACATGAGAGACAAAGCTTTGGGGCTTCATATCCAACTTTATTCAGACTAACAGGACAGATGCTTCCTCAGCTCAGATGTTAATTACAGGTTTACATATCCAATTGAAATAGCGTCATAATCTTTGAAGAAAACCAGTAACCAGCATGGTATTTTGTTATATATTTTCTATGCTTTTCATTCATTGCTTTTCGCTGAATTGATTGTTGATGGAGCTTTTTATCTCTGAAAAAATAATAATCGCCTTTGGAAGTTGGATAACTAGGTTATCTAACCTATATAACTAATATAGGTTTTATAAAACCTATTAAATCTGCTCAGTGACAGCTCAACATGTTCCCAGACCATATGTGGGTAACTGTTTGTGTGTGTGTTATTAAGTAACGTACATTTGATGTGTAGTCAATGTCAAATGCAAATTTATGTAAAATGGAGAACTGAATACTGCACACCTGTCCCCGTCTTTGCATTTTTAATAAGCTATAATAGATCAATTTTCAGTTCATTTCTCCAGACCTAATTGTTTACGCTTTGAGGTACATGTACTACCTTTTGATGTTAACTCTTTTGTTTTGATTTTACAGAATGTATGTTTCACTGGCACGATAGAGCCATCCGTTTGATGCTGGACCTATACGAAGAAAATAGGGACAGGTTCTCAAACCCATCCGTGAGCAGGTCGTCTGTTTGGAGGACCATTGCAAATGGAATGGTTGGTTATGGATACCACATCAGTGGTGAAATGTGTGACAAGAAACTTCGTAATCTCAAGCAGACCTACAAGAGAATATGTGACAGAAACAAGAAGTCCGGAAATGGCAGAACTGACTGGGCATATTACAATCGAATGCAGTCCATTATGGCCGGAGATCCTGCAGTGGTACCTGTGTCAACCATCAGCTGTCTGGAGGATCCACAGTCCACTGGTTTGGATCCCTCTCAAGAATCCAGCAAACAGCCTTCTTCTCAATCTTCAGCACCCACAATACCAGCTGATGAACGCACACCAAAGAGCAAGAAGAGGCGTACTTCAACAGTTTCTACACCTCCTGAAGCACCAGCCTGGTTTGAAAGGGCCATGGAAAATGACAGGACGCACATGGATCAACAATTACAGAGAATGCAGGAAATCCAACTGAGGTCGATACAAGTGCAAGAAGAAAGGAATAGTGTCCTTAGAGATCTGGCAACTCTCCTGAAAGATTCGCTGTCCAGATCATAAATGTGTCAAAATGGCTATTTGTTTCTATAGGTATTAGTTCAATATCAGTCCGTAAATTATTTGAAAATACACTGAGAGAACTGAACATGAGTTGTTTTGAACAATATAGTATTGATCTGGGTGGTTTAATTACCTTCTCCGTCCATGTATAATACTACAAGTAACTAGTACGTATGGTTAGCCTGATTTGATTAGCTCATAAAAGTAACATGAACATTATTTACATGTAATTAGTGTGCTGAAATGAGTGAAGTATTGTTATTGTATACAACCTTGCCTGTAGAAATCAGATTGGACAGATGTCATTTATTTTCAGAAGTTTACAATTCTTGACACAGAACTGGCATGTCACTGTAGGATGTATGCAAGCATGTATATATGTACACTACCCTTAAAAAGTTTACTCATTAGTGCAAATGTAGCCCCTGTTTTCAGTCAGCTGATGTATTGTAAAACAAATGCGTAAGGTTGAAAAGATTCTTGTCATGAGTTCAAAACTTTAAACCAAAATGCAGCTGTTCACATGTTCATATTTACAGCAATTTGATACATAATCCTCGTGCATTTCATCTGCATCAGGTTTGCAGTTGGTTCCCCCAAGGAAGTGGAGTAATTCATCTTCCATGTAACCAAATATATATACACATAACGTATAGTGAATGCTTTAAGTTAGTCTAAACTTTTAATGGGTAGTATATGTGTGTGTACTTGTGGACGAAATGTATTTCAGTTTTCATATTTCATTGGAAACTTCTTTGGGTATGCATGTATATGTGTGTGTGTGTGTATGGATTGATAGTATAGGTATGTAAGTGTATGTAGGGTAGGGCTTGTAGGTATGGCATGGTGGGTATGAAGTCTATGGTAGTATGGTATGGTGTAATGTGTATGGTATGGTGGTCTGTTATGGTATGATGTGTATTTATACGTGTGTATGTTGTGTATGGCTGGCTGTGTATTCATATTTTATTTCTGAGATAATGTGTATGTGTTATGGATTTTACAGTGTCTGATAGGTCAACGTTGGCGGTATGTCTTTCTCTAATAATTTTTTGCCTTGCATTATTCATGTATTGTTTCTCTTGCATTTCATTGTCATAAGTGTCACATGCACATAATAAGGATTATCAGTATTATTAGGATAATCAGTATTATTAGGATAGTCAAAATATTATCCACTATTCTGTGTAACTGATTATAATCAAGGAAAACATCTGCAAAATTAGTGTTTCGGACATATATTTTTCCAACACGACTTTTCTACATCGGTCAACATTTTACTTTAATAATAATAATGTTAAATTTGTATAGCGCCTGAATGCACGGTTTGCTCTAAGGCGCTTGGTTGAATGCTCTGTGGAAAAGAACTGTTTTTAGTTCTTTTTTTTAATGGAATGATGTCGGACAAATTTTTCAAGTCTCATATCGCCTTGAGAGAGTACATATCTGTTATGTAATGACTGGGACTTCAATTCAGTTTTCAAGCCATAATTATGTAACCTGTTCTCTAACCTGTTCAGTTTAGTTGTGAAAATGCTTGTCTATAGCCTAAAGGGTGCCATTTCTTGTTACTTGTTACCAGTGTTCAACTGTTAATTTTCAAACTGGTTTAAGTAAGCCTACCTCTAGTTGGAAGGTCTGGTCATGTGGAATATGATTAACTCATATGACCTGTTTGTCACAAGTGGAAATGCTGGTGCAGATCATGATAACTGAATACCTTCCTTACCTCTCATTTCCCATTGACAGAAACAGTTGTATTTCGACAAATTCACAGTACTAGTATGTTGCAGGGGATGTAGGTAGATGCCCTCAACTCTGTTAGGGGTTTGGTACATTTATATACAGTTATCATTTCATGCAGAATTTTCACTTTGTCATTGCATTTTTTCCCACTTGAACCAATGGTGGCTAACATGTTTGAATTCACTCTTAAGAGTGAGAAAGAACAAAGGAGAGTTTTGTGATGAATGGAATGTTTATTGCAATGGTCATCATGTTATTTCATTGCATAACAGCTGTTATTGTTGAAGATATTATGTTTATTTATATTTTCCACAAAGGAAATAAATTGCATTTACAATAACATATATCTTAGTTATCATTTACACTGATTTACATCAAGTGTGGATTGGATAGTGTATGGGCAGCAGTATCAATACATGAATTAACTTGACACATTCAGCTGAAGAGCTCTCATTTCAATAATTGTATAATTCACAGAAGTATCATTCATAATGCTGTCGATAGGCAAGGTATGTGTGTTAAATGATAATCACAACATGTTAGCAATCCTTTGACGCTTAACAGCAGCAGCTGCATTTCTTACATCATCAAGAACTGCATGTTGACCTTCCTCGTTATCCATATCAGCAACAGTATCATTCTCTTCCACCTGTTCAAGGTCGATAATCAAGTTGTGTAGAACACAAGCTGTTACAATGACGTTGGGAACCTTGTCCATCAAGTCCATGTCCAAATACTTGAGTCTTCTCCATTTGCTCTTCAGTAAAGCAAAGCTTCGTTCAATCACTGTTCGAGCTGAACTGTGAATTCTGTTGTACTTTTTTTGTAAGTCGCTTAAATGACCATTATCCCTAAATGGGGTCATCAGACTGATCTGCAGTGGATAAGCACCATCACCTATGATGTGAGCGTTTGGTGGCAAGACATCGGGTCGAGCAAGATGTAAAGCCAGTGGGCTGTTTCGGAACATGCGGGCATCGTGAACAGAGCCAACCCAGCCACTGTAAACGTCCATAAAACGCAATTTGTGATCACACACGGCCTGAGTCTTCATGGAAGCTACACCCTTCCTGTTTATGTAACTGTCTCTGTTCTGATTAGGTGGTTTAATGGGTACCTCTGTGCAATCAATAGCACCAACTGTATGAGGAAAGCTCCACCTTTCTTCAAATTCTTGAATATTTACAATCGCACCTTCCTTTGATGGCCATTTTATATATTCACCTCTTATCTCCAGGATAGTCTCACAGAAACTTATGAAGATCCTCTGCAGTTGATCCCTCTCTATGCCAAACCGGTCCCCAACACCTCGAAAAGACTCCTGATTTGCCATGGTCCATAAAGAAGCTAAAGTTTTCTTCTGAAGTGTTACTGTCCGCCATGGAGTCTTGCCAGCAATATGTCCCATTAACACCTAAAACAACATAGTATTTGAATTAGTGATCATTCCATATTTATGGCTTGGGGGTAAGTGGGGTGGGTGGGAGTCCATGATTATAAGAGTGGGGTCATTTTGTTCTAGGGGGGAGGGGGGTCACCAATATTTGGTACACTTGTATTTGGGGATGGAGGGCGAGAGTCCTCATTGATGATTTTGTACACGACATGCAGGGGGTTCTCTTACTTTAGACATAAATTTGGGGATATGGATGAATGATGATCAATTTTGTACACATGTCATGTACTGGAGGGAATGGTCGGGAGGGTTTCCTTTCTACATATCTATTATTTCTTGGGGAGGGGGGCTTAACATTGAGGCTATAAATTTTTGGATTTGTTTTTGGAGGACAATCACAGTATATATACAATGTATACATGACGCAAAACGGCTCCATCGTTATATCGAAAAAAGTATGGTGCAACAATGTACAGTGCTTGAGGTATGGGAACACTTCACATATGTAAATTGAGGGAGTAGTGCAATTCACCGGGGGCACATTTTCAGATCCTGCTGAAGACTACTGGCTAGCAAACAGTTATCGCCATATTTTAGTGGTATTTACAAAATTACTTCGCCGTTCGTTAAATTAATGAAAAAAAAAATTAATCATGATACTTCATTAGCTATTCACAGATGTGTCCAGTCTGTTTACTGTCGCCGATCATGTTTTTATATAACAAAGCGGAAGTAAAGTATGGAAGTATAAATAGATGTTTTCTCACAACTAACTGTAACAGTTATCGCCATTCAGAATTTCTCACGCCATTCGTGAAATAATATGTTTTTATATCATACATTAACTCCGAATAATTGATTGTGTGACAATTTGACAATTTGAGTGTTTCTTTCACAGTAGATTGATACGGAATGACTTGTGAACTTGAATTTGCTATTATATAGGTCATGGGACATTCCCCCGACTAAGTTAAAAATTTGTTAGCGTTCATAACTTTATTTTTAACTTTTCTCTGTGTTACATGCCATGAAGAATTTTCTTTTGCTGTCCTGTAGATACCGCTGGGAAAAAAATACCAGAATTGTAACTGACCGGAACTGTACACATGTGATACCGATGTATTGGCGATAACTGCTACCCGGCGATAACTTGTCGCTAGCCAGTTGACGTGTTTTAAATTGGAAATACAATGAGCAGTGGAGAGTTACCGAGCAGCGATGAGACGAGACAGCGGGAGCACTCTAATTATTTATGACTATTATCGTGAATTATTTATTTATTAGTTAAATTGAAGCATATTCATACCTCTACAGATGATCTAGCCATTCTGAAATGTGACCTGAAGGCAACATCGTCGTAGTTATTAACGACATCGGCAATGTAATTCTTTATGTTGACAGATGGTTGACTTTTGGACGCATTCTGGTCACAAAGGGGTAAAAAGCTGTCGAGATGGTGTGCATAGTTTATTCTCACGAGTTGTTGCGAATATTCATCAAAATAATTGCAGGGAATGTCTTCTGAAGCTTCGTGTGCCAAAATTGTGGCTATGATCGGTGAGGTGTTTACATTGGACGACGCCATGTTGAATGAAGCGCTCACACAGCAGTCCGTTGCGCGGGAAAGCAGGCAGCGTAGCGCAGAGTAGCGCAGCGAAGCTTGCAAACTTGTGCTGAACAACGCGCCCGAGGTCTCATTACATACGAATTATACGAAACGAGTGTCCTTCCTATGGTATCTGACCGAGGCGAAAGCGAGGTCAGATATCATAGGAAGATCACAGCTCTCGTATAATCGTATGTAATGAGACCGAATAATATTATTTTATTTATTACCCACGTCTTACATGCATTTTATATTGATGTTTTGGTTTCAAACCGAAACTGGTTTCATAAAGAGGTTGCGGAAGAGTTTTGTACTGTAGTACAATATTTGCATGACGTCACACTAATGACGTCACTGCCATGGTAACCGACGTCACGATGCATGTCAGTTGTCATCGCCTCGTACAGCCTCCTACAGTAAACTACTCCGTTGCACCTCGTTTCTTGGTTTCCAGTTGCTTCATTCGGCTAACATCACTGGTGCAAACATTGCGTTTATGTTTTCGACAGATATAATGTCTCAGTTCGACTCACAATTAAACAGCGACACGGCAACGTTCGCAATGTTTATTCCACAATGCATTTAAGTTGTAGAATGAATGAATTCACGTGTTTGTTATGAATGAAAAAATAGTTACGTCAGAATATGACCTAATTGAGAGGTCATCGGTTATCAATCAAATCGTTAGAATTTCAGGTCAAGTCGTTACGACACAGGTCAACGCGATACGACACTCGTGTGACGTACGAGATTAATATGCAACTACCCATACGTTGACCACGTGGGTAATAATTAAAGTTACGCCAGTCGCAGCTCTATATTTACGTCACCTACCCAGCAGGCGTAAGCCGAAGGCGTAGCCCTGTAATAGCGGCACTGGATGCCGAGGGGTTTTCAGCCGCACATTTTCAAAAGGTTTGAAAAGTGAACGTATTGCGAGAATTGCGCTCTTGTGGTCCTGGATCTGCGTACGGCTTTAAAATTACACAGAAATGTAGAACATTTAATTTCCTATCTGTTGGTATAAATATAAGTGCGACTACCTCGGCGGTATTAGAAATAGACACTGCTAAATGTTGTCCAAAATTTTGTTACGCGTTAAAAAACTGAGTGTCAATTTCTCCGCTTTTTGTCGTGCACCGATAAAAGCACTCTGCTACGAATTTTTTAATTTGGCATCTTTACAGAAAGTGTGAGCGAAGAAAATACAGCCTGATATCGGAACGACATAAGTGTATATGAAATGGGTTTATGTGCTAATGCTTAACGTTACACGCTCAACATTAAAAATGACTCGCGATAGAAGTGCCAAAATGGATTTTCTTCTATGACGTCAACCGACCACAGGGAGGTCATACACGTATAAAGATAACGGGGCATAACTCCGCTATGCTTAACACTAGGTCAATGTAACTCAGATCACTTGGAGAAAAGTTGTTGTGGATACGGACGCTATATTTTCGTTATGCTGTGTTCACGGTAAACCAAACTATTCCAATTCAAAGTTCAACAATGTGAGCGGATACGTTTTGGTAGTTTCACAATTTATAAGAAAAGATGGCAATGTACTACTTGAGAAGCAGGTAATAGCGATTTGGATGACCCTATCCGATATGTAAGTTAGTTCTTAGATTCCCATGTTCTCCTGTTTGTGTAGATGTATTATGACTAATTTTACATCATTATTAACGAATTACTAGCCATATCTTCAAATGTAATGAAATTACTGATAATAATACAACATTTTAGTTGACGTCATTGCTTGTTTTATCGGGAAAAGACGACATTGGTTTGCTAATTAGTATATATCTTACCTAATTTCCATTAATTGTATAAAGGTCTCGGCTTCTATGTCAGAATTTAACACTCTTTAGAGAAAACATAAAACGAATGATTTTACCAATTAAATAGTGTCCCGAATATATCAACAATTAGACGGTTTGACTGCGTATCTTATTGTGAGTAGCACGCGCACCTGTTTGGCATCAATTTAACGTAAATGAAAAATAATATTTCACAACACCCAAATATTTTGCAGTTATGGCTACGTGTGATCTTCTAATACTTGTGTAAAGATTTAAAATATGGTGTACTACACTAAATGCGTCAATTTCTTATGTAAATATTATTCAAACAATCAAAAACTTTCAAAGAATAAAAAAAACCGCCTGCCCTTATATCCACGTATAATATGGTATTGAACAAGGCTAAATGTATATACAGAAATTAGTTTGATGAAAAATATCTGAACGATACGCAAACCATACATCCATAATACATTTATTAGTTAAATTGAAGCATATTCATACTTCTACAGATGATCTAGCCATTCTGAAATGTGACCTGAAGGCAACATCGTCGTAGTTATATATATTAACGACATCGGCAATGTAATTCTTTATGTTGACAGATCGTTGACTTTTGGACGCATTCTGGTCACAAAGGGGTTAAAAGCTGTCGAGATGGTGTGTATAGTTTCTTCTCACGAGTTGTTGCGAATATACTTCAAAATAATTGCAGGGAATGTCTTCTGAAGCTTCGTGTGCCAAAATTGTGGCTATGATCGGTGAGGTGTTTACATTGGACGACGCCATGTTGAATGAAGCGCTCACACAGCAGTCCGTTGCGCGGGAAAGCAGGCAGCGTAGCGCAGAGTAGCGCAGCGAAGCTTGCAAACTTGTGCTGAACAACGCGCCCGAGGTCTCATTACATACGAATTATACGAAACGAGTGTCCTTCCTATGGTATCTGACCGAGCGAAAGCGAGGTCAGATATCATAGGAAGGTCACGAGTTTCGTATAATTCGTATGTAATGAGACCGAGTGTGGTATTTTATTTATTACCCACGTCTTACATGCATTTATATTGACAAACCGAAACTGGTTTCATAAAGAGGTTGCGGAAGAGTTTTGTACTGTAGTACAATATTTGCATGACGTCACACTAATGACGTCACTGCCATGGTAACCGACGTCACGATGCATGTCAGTTGTCATCGCCTCGTACAGCCTCCTACAGTAAACTACTCCGTTGCACCTCGTTTCTTGGTTTCCAGTTGCTTCATTCGGCTAACATCACTGGTGCAAACATTGCGTTTATGTTTTTCGACAGATATAATGTCTCAGTTCGACTCACAATTAAACAGCGACACGGCAACGTTCGCAATGTTTACATTCCCACAATGCATTTAAGTTGTAGAATGAATGAATTCACGTGTTTGTTATGAATGAAAAAATAGTTACGTCAGAATATGACCTAATTGAGAGGTCATCGGTTATCCAATCAAATCGTTAGAATTTCAGGTCAAGTCGTTACGACACAGGTCAACGC